GTTGCCAATTGCCAAACATGGTTGATAAACACATTATGAATCCTGTACTTATCAAATTTTCAAGATTATATATATTCCATGACTAGAAATCTGGTTGCATTATCTGAAGTCTTTCCAGGGCCATCGAGTTGAGAACTGTGTTGATCTTCATCCACAAGCTGTGCCTTCTTGATTGTGTCTAAACCTTCGTCTTTTCAGGATATCAAGGAAATTCTAAAGTGTTTACCTGGGTGCTTGTGGAGTATAAAATCCCAAAGTTTATGATAATAAAAGTTCACTTTGCCATGCATCATACTTAAACGTCTAGTAATTTTTAAATATATACCTTTAAGTCTAATGCAGTACTGTTAGCCTAGCTTATATCAATTCCTCAGAAATTGCTTTAATATTATGTTGTTTAGGGAGATATCTTCCTGAGCATTGAGGCTGTATTTGCAATCAGTTGGACATGAATTTTCTCATTCATTTCTATCCATGTTCACACGTTAGTTCTGTCTTAACCATAGCGGACTTAATCTTTTCTAAATCTGATTAGCAGAGATGGCAAGGGCAGAGTGCATTTTATGGAAATTCAGTTGGATAAATCACATCCCAACTGTCCTCCTTCACTTTCAGCAGTATGTGTTCTTCGAAATTTTTATGGTTAACAGTTCTCCATTTGAGGGATCTATAACATTTAAGTTTCTTCTTCAGGATGTGCCATATTTGTTTAATTTAAAATGGTCATCAAACTCAAGAATGAAAGATGTGGTGCGGCAGTTTAAAAAGGTATTTGTTACTTTCTTTGAAATTGCATACAAAATTTTGCATCAGATATTTTCTATTGTGGATTTCTTTTCTTGGGTTTGGATGTTTTCTAAAGCTATCGGCAATTGGTTCTTGAACCCAGCATCTGGAGAACCTTCAGGCTTTTTGGTCTACTTTGGATGATATTGACAGGTCGCTTTGGGTTGTTGATCCTAAACAAGCATCTCCTGCTGTGTCATATCGCCAAATTATTATAGGTGAGCCATCTTATTCATAAGTATTGGTATTAATAATTCTTCTCCCTTTTTTTTTTGGTGTCAAGTCTTTTGAGGTTTTTGTTTCTCAGGAAATGATTGCTGCATCACATTGTTCATTAATTCCGTTGATCCTAGATCATTACCAGAGTGAGATTCCACCTTGAATCAGTTACTAGAGCTCCTACTTTCTATCTTTTGCTTATCATTCGGTCGTGAGTATCAAGTTGTGTTAGATGTCGTTTTATTGGTTCAGGTCCATTCGTGAATACGTTGAGAAACAAATGGCGAAGAAATAGCAAAAGATGGTAACCATTGCATCCCTTCCTTGTCCTTGATTCTGTATTCTGACTTTGATACTTGTATTGAGGTAGAATATGAATTTTGTGGTGTTGACTGTTGTTACTTTAGAATCATTCTTTTTGACGAATTGTTGTGATTTACGGCTCAAAATTAGGATGATGCAGAAATTAGGTTTATGTTACCTATTTCATTTGGTGTTCTATTTGAGTTTAGATTTGATTTCTTGATTGGACTCCTTGGTTGGTGGAGAGATTTTGCAATTACCTATTTGATTAGGATTTGGATTTACTTCTAATTAGGATTAGGATTCTCATTGTAACCTAAATCCTATGCAATATAAATAGGACCTTAGGGTTAGTTTATTTTGTGTGCCTCACTATTAGTTTAGATAGATTTCTATAATTAGTTTTTGGGTGGAGGTCACCGTTTGGAGTCATGAGTGTGGCAAATTCATGGCTCATTCATATGGCAATTTGGTGAGAATCAATTTGCAAGTTAGAGAACAATTTGGGAGAATCTTCTCCGTTTGTTTGAGTTCTCTACTCGTTTGGTTTAGGATTTGTACTTTGTGGGATTTGGGTTGTGAGAGTTAAACACTCTTTTGTAATCTCCGTTTGTTTAGTGAAGTTCCTCGCCGTGCTTTGCCTATGGACGTAGGCTTTACGCCAAACCATGTTAAATCTCTTGTGTTCTTATTTTGAGATTGTTTGTTTTAGCTTTCGGCTACGATGTTGGTATTTAGTACTTTGTTAGAATCCACTTTTCTTGCGCATAAAAGTACAATGAACTTTTGTTTCCCAATGAACTCTACGTCATCCTTAGGTTAAAGGTTGGGAATTAAATATAAGTTTGCTATGATGGGGTTAAGTTTGTTATAATACTGTTGTCTTTCGATGTTACAAGAATACTGCTGGACCTGTGCTTATATATCATTTACTGAAATGCTCTTTCAATTAATGTTCAAATTTATCTTTTGAGAAGAAAATAACACTGACGGATAATGTGTTTATCATTTATCTACTGTAATTTCATAGGATAAAAGACAAACCATTTCTGGAAAATCTTGAATGTCTTCTGGAGACTCAACTGCCAATGCCCCCTGATGTCGAGAAGAATGACCAGCAAGTTGAATGTGGAATTTGTTATGCTCAGAGTCTACCAATTGGTAATTCTATATAAACATTCTTACATTTTTACCAAGGTTTTTCAGCCATTGACTTGGCAGTTTTAATGTAGATGACGAGCTCAGAGATAAGAGTGGAACCGGGACTGACTATACATGTGATAATACCAGTTGCAACAAGGCTTTCCACAGCATATGTCTTGTGGACTGGTTGCGTTCTATCACCACAACACGGCAGTATGTTTAAGTTTCCTGCATCGTGATTTTCCTTTTCTGTATGCACGAGTGTTGCTTTGCTTGTCATTTTGCAATATTCGATAATAGAAACTCTCAGTTGACATGGCATTGCTCCTTCTTTCCCTTATGAAGCAAACTTATTGCATATGCAAACATTTTCACTGGTAGTTGTTAAAAGAAAACACATGCACTTTCAAATTGAAATCCATCAAAACATTACGTAACAAGGCACAAATTTTATATGGAAGCAGATGAGAACTAGCAGGACGATAGTAATTAGCTTAATCATCAGAACACTTTGACATTCAGAATTATTTGTGCTGTAACCGTCAATCACATGAACTCATAACCTATAGTGGCAAACGCAGGCTTCCTTTTATGGTTTGTTGATTTCTGATATCTGTGTACACTTGCATCACAGGTCATTTGATGTGTTATTTGGAAGCTGTCCATACTGTTCAGAACCAGTTGCGGTGAAAATCAACAGCGTCAAGAGGTAATCTACATCTTCAAGTCCTCCTAATCAAACATCTGTTGATATTCTCATTTCCCTGGAGTGTTCTTCTGCGATGTTCTTACTGGAAGAGCACATACTCTTGGATTTATGTTTATAGTAAATTTTGTAGCAGTGTGGAAATGTGAGTGCTAAAACACGGAAAGCTGTATTGTAACTTTGTAAGCAACATCCGAATACGTTAGACTCACCTCATTTCTAGTACTGTCCTTATCCCACCAGAGCTCAACACTCAAATCATTTGTACTACCTATCAATTGTTGAAAAGTAGTTTCTTATCCAATGACATGCTCACTTGATAACTACGAGCTGTCGGTAATTTTTTCAATTTTAGTTTTTTATTTTTGATTTTTGTTAAAGATAGAGAGGAAGTACGTAGAATGAAAGGGAGATGAATGTGGGATGGAGGGCGGGATGATAGAGGAAAGAAATCTACAAAGGAGAATGATTGTTTTTAGTTTGTCTTTTAATTTTCTTCTGCCTCCCGTCCTCCACCCTTCATCCCTCTCTCTCTCTCTCTCTCTCTCTTTATATTTATTCTCCATCTCTAACAAGTTAAGTTACCATGTAAACTCAATACTTATAAAATTAAAAACTAATTAAGGGGGGAAGATTTTTATCGAAACTAAAATATGAAATTTAAAAACTAAAAACAAAATGAAGTACTACTTTAGTTACCCTTGTGATAGATATTAACTTATCCAATGGACTAGTTCCGGTTGCCAGTTGATTCATATAAATCGTCGGCTGTTTGTATATGGCCTGCGTCTTCTAAGCACCTTTATTCTTATACCGACTGTCGGCCAAATGGGTTGAAATTGAATTGAACCATTGTGGAATGCAAGCCAACCACGTCTTTGCTTTTAGGTACTGTAGTTGGCACTATACTTGTGGACCTAAAATGCACAGTATCTTAATTTCACCGGTTCCCTTATTTTAATGCCCTCTTATCCATCCGGTCGGGATTAGACCTGCCCGTGTCACTATGAAAACACATCCGACTAACCATTAGATATAGTACCAGTCAATCTTTACTTTATTGAATTCGTTGAAGGGTTTCCTCTTAATGCTGCCTAACCAAAAAATTTGGCGTTTTAGAAATTTTTCCCTAATTAAGCACTTCTAATTTGTCAGTTTTCTAAGTTCATATTGGATTTTAAGATTTGTTTTAGTTTGTTGGGAAATCATTTGTGAGTGTAAAGTGATTGAGCTACTTGTATATTCAGAAAGTAGAGAATATTTCTCATTTAGTCTACAAGCCTACATCTACATGGATCATAAATCTGACGTCCCAATGGTACAATGCCCGTAACAGTGACATGTTTCAGGGTCATGCGGGCATGCAACAAGTGATTGTGACTCTGCTGATTGTGATTGACCTGGGACCATCTTTGTGGTTGGTACAGATGGCTTATGCTAGCTAGGACCTAGGTGCATTACTACCCCATAGGCATTTCAGGGGACGTCAGCTTAATACACTTACTACGTTAAGAACATTACTGGACAGTAAGATATACATACATACATACATATATATATATATATATATATATATATATATATGAACTCCGATGTTAGGCGACATTGGACAAGAACTGCTTTAGGATGGATGAATAACCTCTTCGAAAGTCTTCGTGTTCCATATGGTTCGATTCAGTCGATCATTTGGACGAGTTGAAAACCTGTACACAAATAAATCGACCTCATTTTGTTTGTTTCCTTCTTTTTTTCTTTGTTAGCTCGTGTCAGAATGGATCAATTTCTTCTTTCAACAGTACGAAACAATGCCAGATTTTTGCTTCAAAATTCAGAAACTGATAGAAAGGGTTCAAATCAAGCACATATCCTTTTCACTATAAAGCAGGAGCTTTTATTGGTACAATAATGCGAGCTGGATACACACATACAGCCACTAATAGATATCGACATTTGCTCCCTTCTAAAACAGACTTATCCTTCCATCCATAAACACAGGCTTAGATATGAACAAGAATTTCCCATATTTCCCCATATACCCTTTATACTATGCATGGCTCTTATTACACGTTAGTGTACAAGGGCACGTACGTTATAACAAGTATGAAATATGGATGTACGTACAAACAATCATTGTTTTTGGCAAATGGAGGCAACTTAGAAGCCGGCGGTGCACTCCGGTGGGGCTACTGGGTACCGGGATCTGTCGGTGCAGTAGTCGTAGATCATGTGGTTGATACGAACCCACCTGTATCTTCGATAATCGAGGGCGCTGAGGGCTTGGTAGGAAGCGCCTTCCCACCAGTTATTGGTGCTTGAGGCACAAGAGGCTGGTCCTGGCACACTGCATCCCTCAATGTCAAAATCCTTGTAATATGAAAAGAAAGGAGCTTTGCTCCAGTTTATCTTCTCAAGTCCTCCTCTAGTAGCCCAATCATCAGCTTCCCACAACGTCGAAAACACTCCCATAGGTTGGAGCTTTGGGTATGGGACTCCTTTGGCTTCATTGTTCTTGTACACCCTTATAGGCATATCATCCACATAGAAGCTGCACCACCAACAATATTGACATTCGCACCGAATTATTATTACTGACAAATTTAAAATTAGTGAGAAAACAAATATTGTATTTTTATAATGAAATATCTTCTCAGATAGTCTATCATGCATGTTGTCAAATGTGAATTAGAATCAATCATTTATTTGACCTATTTTTATTTAACTCATTACTTGTTATAAACAGTGTGACAACACAACATGTCTGATGTGCACATGTTTATTGAACATATTAGCTTACACAATATGGTGATGATTCCAGAGGATTGTGTAAGTGTGGAAATCAGCAGCAGGGTCAAACCAGAGGTTAACCCTTTGCTCCCTATCACCCTTCCCATGAGCATAGATATTGGTTTGGACTGTATAAGGCTGTCCAGTCCGGTTCCCCAAGAATTCAAAATCTAGCTCGTCACGAACTGTATCGGTGTCAGAGTTCATCTGCCAAAACAATCAAAACAAAACAGATTAATTCATATAAATCAAGAAACCCAGAAACTTATTTGGGGTTTTGAAGCCGTGAAGTTACATAAAAAGCAGTGACAGTTCCAGCAGAGTCTCCAGGGATGAGCTTGATCTTCATGCTCACACGCCCAAACAAGTACTTCTGTTTGGAGGCAAACCCACATCCTGAAAAAGTAATGTATCAAAATTTGCAAGCACTCATTACTTTGTCATATTTTGTGAAGACAAATAAAAATCCGATCGATTCGAACTTTTTTTCTTTCATAAAAAAAAAAAAAAAAAAAAAAAAAAAAAAAAAAACTATATTATTACTAAAATATATAGCAAAGTTGACCCCACGATCGGATACCAGAATTTTGGTCAAGAACGAGTTGGATGGCCCTCCCTCCATCGATTTGCCTGATATGAGAATCAGACCATGTGACTCGGAAGTCCTGAAGAAAAGTGGCTGGTCGTCCAAAAGATGAAAGAGAAAATAAAGAAAGAAAGCAAAAGCAGAAAGAAGCAACGACAGCCCTCCAACTCCAACTAGGGTAAAGGGCCATGATTTTGTCACACACACAAATATATATTAGAGATTATATATGGAATTAATATTTTGAATGTGATTTAGATGATGAGAAGATGTGGGCTATTTATACATTTAGTTTGGCTAGGGGGAAGATTATTTGTGATTAAGACTGGCTTCCCAATGGAAAGTTCCATCACAACTTTGCTTTCCATCCAGCTAATGGCAAGCTTTCAGCTAGGTCCTACCCAACAGTTTGTATTCTTCTTTCGAGATTCTTCTTTCTTAGTTAATCATTCAGGACGAGAGATTTTTCAGTGTAACTGGAACACAGAGTGGTACATCACGTGTCACTATATCAATGGTGGAATATATGTGCTAAAAGATTGATAACTCAAAAAATACAATTTCCCACCACTTATATAAAAACACGTAGTGTTTCACTTATATTTCCGTCACAATGAAAAAATTCTCCTCCGGAATGCCATAATCAACTACCATAATTTTCTTCATCTTAATTTTCTACTATGCTAGTAGCACTTGGCCTAACTTTTGCGTGGTATATATATATATATATATATATATATATATATATATATATACACACACTTCGTCGCAATTGAACCCTATTGTTGTATTTGTTATAAAGAATAACGTCAGAGTAGAGTATCCAACTCAAAATGAATTAGTTATTTTGGTGAGTAGCATGAATCACAATTCACGCTTTAACAAGTCTTAGGGCATGTTTTGTGGTGCTTCAATATGAAGCACTTCTGCACATTAAATTTTTTGCCATAAGCACATTGGAATTCCTAACCATCTAATTATGAAGATTTTTAGCTCTTGCTGTCAAACATCGTTAAAATCACCTTTTTAACATATGAAAGCGCTTTTTGTTCTTCCCAAATTAAACAAGCTGTTATATGCGAATGAATCTTCATATATCATGTTAAGGTTAACGACTTTGCTTAATTTTATTTTCTCAGTTATAAAATTAGACAAGAAATAAGGAAAACGCTTTGTTATTGATGTATAAAAAATGTCATTCTGTACTTTTACTTTACAAATTTTCTCTTGTGTTTTTACAGATTTGGAATGCATGGTGACTTTTTCAAAGTGTCAATAACAACTTCATGAAGAAAGTACACATAATAATATCGAAATCACTAGGTGGTTTGTATGGGGGTTGACAAGTGAAACTGCAATTTGATTATGTAAAAAGTGTTACTTATGTGTGTTTCCCAATTGATAATAAATAAAATTGAAGCTTATAAGTATTATCTTTGTGTGGATACAAATGCTGCCGAACTCATTCAATTGTATCTATCCCATGACATTCTAAAGGAATGGTAAGGTTGGTGATTACGATTTTACATAAGTGGAATATTGCTATGAATTACTTGCACCTAACTCCATGCCCTAAGGCCATCACTGTTGTGTATAATACCACAGTAGTAGCCTCTCTCTCTCTCTCTCTCTCTCTCTCTCAGTCAACTATTGCCCTGAAGTTAAAGACATCCAATCATAAATTCGTCCTATATCAATGTTACAGCCAATACAAATTGATTGATATGGAATGCTGACTGGCCAGTAGTTCTACTTATGGACCCAATGATGTGGCTCTCATTTTACGAGCTGGGATTTTGTTATTAAACACTATTTTAAGGTTATGTTTACTTTTATGGTGTTTTTCCTAATCAGATATAGTAATTATATTATTAGAGGCAATTATTTGTCATGTACATTACAAACCTCAAAAGTTTGTCATCATATAATTGTGATGATTTTTAGCTCAAGTGATCAATAACTTTTTAACATTCATACCAAGAGTTTGAATCTTTTATCTCTTTATCAGTTTATCTTATATATATAACAAATTGACACTTTCATCCTTAACGTTATTGTCACTATATACAATCATATCAAAATTTTCATTTCTCTTCTTTGGTATGTACCATTAAGTGATCCAAAAAATCGTGGTTAAATTTTGCAGATAAGAATTTAGTTAATCTTTATAACATTTAGATCTTGCATAAAATTTGTAGCACTGATTATGACGTATGTAACAACTTAGCCAGAATTCAAAGTTTTAAGTTTTGTTTAGGAAGAATGCTAAACATTCTTTGTAATACTCTTTATGACAAAGTTACCAAAGCTAGCACCTGCACAAAATTTACAACTGGCTACATAGGCTTAATTATAGCATAAAATGAAGATTGTGGAGATTTTATGCCACGTGGCTAATCCAACGCCATGAAAGCCTTGTTGGGGTTTGGATTATATCGATTGTCAAGGCATGAATTGAGATAATCGCTGTGTACAGGATAAAAAATTCGGACCATTCAGTTTAAATTATGCGGTCCCAATTAGCTTATTTCATTGGTCTACTTCACACAAATTAAGCTCCTGAATAGACTGGATTTCTCTCTCTTAAACAATTCAAATTTTGAGATCGGTTGACTCTAGACACAAAAAGTCGGAGAGAATCTCAGTCAGGGTATATACATTGACGAAATTGGATTCCATTTGGATCCACTTTGTGGGGATTCTAGGGATCCACATATCTTAGTCATTCATCGTGTATCGTGCGATCAGAAATCATTTGATTTTTTTATTTAAAATTAAATACAAATAATATCTGATAAAAAATAACGCACGATGTATGATGAACGGGTAGAATGTGAGAATCCATAAGATCCCCACAAAATGAATATTTAGAATCCCCACAAAATAGGTCAGGAGAAAATCCTCCTCCCATCTTGACATGAAGGTTGTGGAAATGTGGGACCTAACAGAAACAGGCCAATTTGAGTGAAGAACTGTGGCTCTACAGGGCTAACAATTCCCTTTCCCTCTTGCCATATGGAAAAGTCTCTCTTGGCTTGGCTTTTGGAATTTAGTTTGGGAAATTAAAATTTTGGAACCAAATACTTTTCTTTTCTCTCACACTAACTCAATTAGAGTCGTCTAAACTAATACAATAGTAAAAAGGTTTGGACAATACTTTCCTATTTTTCAAGGAGTAAAGTCCTCACTTCTCCTTATTACCAAACATTATTTTACTGTAAAAATATTATAATTATAATTGTGTGCTCCTTATTTTTATAATTATCTCAAGGTTTAAGTGTAGAAAAAATTATCAAATTTGAAGATCATTTATTCATTCATGTGTGTTGAACACATCAACGGTTATATATATATATATTTTAATTTATTATTATTAAGGGGAGGGGAGAGGGTTCAAAAATATTACAATAATTCAAGAGAGAATGGAGTTTTGAACTCATGATGCATAGGTGGAAACCCAAGATCCTATTTACTAGGATATTAAACCACTTGCATCAACGGTTATAGTAACAAGTGATGAACTGTAAAGTTCTTGATTCATATGGATAATTCAACAAATTTTAAATGAATTTTCTTTAAATGATGATGATAAAGAAAATAAATATTTTATTTATAACGTTTATGTGGTGAAATGATATCACGCTAAGAAAAGGAAGACCTTCCTCCTTACTACGAATGAGGGAAGTATTAGAAAAATGACTTCTTTGAAGTTTTTATTTATTAAAAAAAGTGGAGTTATCTCCATTATTAGTTCATCAAAGAAATGAAATTACACTAGCTATCTCATGAAAAAATGTATAACTTGTTGAGAAAATAGTTTCATGAATGTATTGATGAGAAAACATAAAATCTGTAGAGTTAAAGTATTGTTTATTAGTATATCATAGTATTCTTCAATGAAAGATTGTTTCTAAAATTTCAATATTTTTGGGTTTTATATGATTTACACAATATTAATATCACTACACCATGATAGTATCTTATTTCAATAATTTTTTTGTTGAAAGACATTATTTCATAGTTTACAATATCAATGGACTGTAAATTTGTATTTAGGGCGACTTTGTTTGAATTGTTACATCCCGTCCCAAAATTAATTGTATTTTAACTATGACGGGGTAAATGGAAATCCTACGTGGACATCTGAATTTTTTTCACTTTTTCCATTTTCTTGTCATTTTTAAAGAGTACTCATCCTTATGAACAAGTTGCGCACGTTTCACAACGACGTGCAAAATGGTAATTTTTCACCCTCAGGACTCCACAAATTGTTTTTCAAGACAATAATAGGATCTCAATATCACAAGCTGCTGATTGCGATACTGTTGGTTTGCTAGCTGGACCTGTTAAACAAGTTGGCAAATTGGCCATTTATTTTTATTATTTTCTAATTATGCTTAATGCCTAATCAATTTATTGTTTAGACTTGATCCAAATATACATACACACAGAGTAAAATGACCCATCCTTTTAGCATACTCTTGTTGTGCTCGTCACAAACAAATGTATGAGTGTAAACGGAATTGAATTTGGACTTACAATGGAGACCATACAAAACACAGAACGCAAGCGCAAATTGATAAATTTACATATATTGAAATTATCTCGTTGTTATTTTCTGAACTTAAGAGTGTGTGTGAAGTAGGGCCCACGGCTCTGCCCGTGCTCCCGTACTCCTTTCTCGGTTCACCTTCTCTCTTCACTTTTCTCTTTTTCTCTCAGACGCCCCCAACGGTCTTTCTTTTCTGTGTGAAACACAGAGACACCGAGAACACCACCACCTCCACTTGCCACTCCAGCGAGTCTATTCACCACCATCCTTCTTCCTTCCTCGCAACCAACACAATTACGGTTATGATTTTCTCGAATTTCCTACCAAATCTAAGGACTCACAACCCAGTTCGGGTTCTTCTTTCTCCAACGAGATTCTTGGTTTTCCCAGCCAAATCTCGTCTCCTTGGACGGGATTGACACCACTAGTCACTTCGTCACAATCCCAAGACCTAGATTTGAGCTTTGAATGCTTGAATGTACCACAGAATTGACGAAATCCAAACATCCACCTTTAGGCCGTGGCTTTTGAGGCATTTTCCAGCTACCTCCGGCCATCTTTTGGCCTCGATTTAGGTTAAAATTCCTTCCTCTCGTTTCTAGCTTCATTGGACATATTTTATGTGAAAAATGGTTGTGAAACGGCTTAAGATATAACTCCTTGAATTTTG